TTGAATCTACGCCTGTGTGATTCAAAGCTGATATACTGAGTTAATATCTGGATGGTATTGATTTAACAACTAACTTAACTAACTGATATACTGAGTTAATATCTGGATGGTATTGATTTTACAACTAACTTAACTAACTGATATACTGAGTTAATATCTGGATGGTATTGATTTAACAACTAACTTAACTAACTGATATACTGAGTTAATATCTGGATGGTATTGATTTAACAACTAACTTAACTAACTGATATACTGAGTTAATATCTGGATGGTATTGATTTAACAACTAACTTAACTAACTGATATACTGAGTTAATATCTGGATGGTATTGATTTAACAACTAACTTAACCAACTGATAGACTGAGTTAATATCTGGATGGTATTGATTTAACACCTAACTTAACTAACTAATATACTGAGTTAATATCTGGATGGTATTGATTTAACAACTAACTTAACCAACTGATATACTGAGTTAATATCTGGATGGTATTGATTAAACAACTAACTTAACCAACTGATATACTGAGTTAATATCTGGATGGTATTGATTTAACAACTAACTTAACCAACTGATATACTGAGTTAATATCTGGATGGTATTGATTTAACAACTAACTTAACCAACTGATATACTGAGTTAATATCTGGATGATACTACGAGAAGAGTTGTGGCTGCTCGTTAGCTTTTTCTCATATCTCATAGTACCCATCAATGTCGAGTGAGCAGTGATCATTTTAATGACCATATCTATGGTACCCATGAAAGCTCACCGAGCAGTGTGTTTGCATAAAAAAACAACAACTAACTAACAAGAGACTAGTAATCTCATGTTTGACTTTAGATGTTTTTCTAGATAGAGAGACCTCACTATAATAATAATAAGAGTGAAGTAAGTAGATAATATGGTCTTTAAACGAGAATGTTTGACTGCAATAAAGCTTAAGCAGTTTAAAAGACTGAAATATATATATACAGGGTGGGCCAAAAAAATTGAGAGCATCTCGTAAAATATTACGCTACGAAATGCTGGCGACAGGGAAAAGGTCAGTTGGACGGCCTCGTCTGAGATACTTAGACATATGCAAAAGAGACATGAAGTCGGCCAACATCGACATCTCAAACTGGGAGGATCTGGCAGAGGATCGATCCTCATGGAGGGGCATCGTGAAGGCAGGATCACTACATGCCGAGGAGCAAAACAGGGCGGAAACAGCTGCAAAAAGAGCGAGGAGGAAGGCCGGTAAATACTGCTCCACCGCATTCGTGTGTGGGAAATGTAACAGAGACTGCCATTCGAGGATTGGTCTCACCNTATTTATATACTATATACATAAATATATATATATATATATATATATAATATGAATGTTGGCTTTTTAAATTGCGAACTCATGTTTTAATACACCTCACAAACTTTAAAAAAAACTTTGTATCTTTAACATTTCTAAGTTGTTCTTTTCTCCGTCCAAAAAATTTGCAATTTATTAAGGAAAAACTTGGCACTTGATGTAAAAAAATAAATAAATTTAAAATAGCAAATGTTTCAATATTTAAAGAAAATTAGTAGGCCTACATAGTTAAATGAAACTCAATATTTGAAATATTTATTTAACATTTCAAGGGCCATGAAAATTTGGTTTAAATAAAAAAAGTGTGTGTGGGGGAAAAAAAAGGGGGGGGGGGCATATTTTAATATTATTATCTCCACACCCGATTGTGTTGCAGTTGTTGTTTTTTTTTTAAATTAAAAATAATAAAGAAACATATTCTTGAAATGCACAGAAAAAAATGGCGATTAACTATTTAAAAAACAAAAAAAAAAGAAGTAGAAAATTGCGTGGCAAAAGATGGTTTGGACATTAAACGATTGATTCTTTTCAACGTTGGGCACACATTGCGTGATGGTGTTATTAATAGGGTTCGTTAACAAGGCTGAACAAAATAGTGGGTGTGGTGGAGTCGCCTGTGATTTTTTTCTGTGCCCCAGGCAAGGACGTCATTTGGGTAGGGCACCCCTGAATTTTCAGGTTTTATTTAAATTGCTATGGACCCTTTCCACCACCTCTAGTAAAACAAAAAACCCAAAAAAGCCGGTCAAGTTTTGGTTTTGCCCCCCCCCCCTTCCTGAAAAAAAACAAAACAACCTGAAATGATGTTCCTGGTCACAGGCAGTACAAAATACATTGTGTGCTACAAAACACTGACCCCCCCCCCCCTTTCTCTCTTTTTGTTGATGCAGACGTCATTTATGGGTGGCCCCTCTATCAAATTCAGACCGGCAATACAGGCGGCTGCCTGAGGCGGCATTGGAAAATCCCAGGCGAATCAACAGCTAAGATCTCAATGAGAAGACGTCAGCTAAGATCTCAATGAGAAGACGTCAGCTAAGATCTCAATGAGAAGACGTCAGCTAAGATCTCAATGAGAAGACGTACAATTTCTCTATGAAAATTCAAGGCTAGTTTAAAAAAAAAAAAAAAATTAATAACAAATTATTTTGGGTACTGTAAACCAGTTTATGATCGATGTTTCAGTTATTTCCTAGTGACTTATTTTTTGGATTGTTGTCTGGCTTACTAAAACTACAAGACATAAATGTGATAAACAAGAAGTTTTCAACAACAATAAAAGGCATGGATCTTCAAACAGTACAGCGTATACATGATCAGTTAAGATCGTTTGGTTAGTTTTAGAGACTGGCTGATTGGGATTTTCTGATTTCAGCCGAAACTAGGGCCGAAATTTAAAAATGACTTTCGGCCGAAACCGAAGCCAAAACCAAAAGCTTAATTACGAGACTTTTGGTCGAAAGTCATTTTTTAAATTCGTTCACGCATACATTCTGCATAAATCGAAAAATGATGGGGAAAGTATCAATATTTACATTCTTTTTATTTAAAAAATGACCAACATCTAATGAATGCTTTGGCTTCACCATTTTAGTTAAAAATTAATTTAAATTTGTTAAAAATGTATTTTAAAGTAGAATGGTAAGAGAAAATTTGGATGGGGAGTGGGATGGGGCAAATTTACGCAAAATAGACCCTTGAGTGCCCTTTTCTTTTATAATATGTTTACAACGCTACCTAGACATACGGCCGAAATTAGGCCGAAATTGATAAAAGTGCAACTCTCGACGCCGAAACCGTATCCGAAATTCGGTCAGTCCCTGGTTAGTTTAGCTGCAATATGTAAAAAAAAATATATAAAAAATTGAAAAAGGCACATTTCACAGATTTCTCTCGATACGGTGTCATAACCTGAACAGGGTGCAACCAGAACAGGGTGCCACCAGAGCAGGGTGCCACCAGAACAGGGTGTCACCAGAACAGGGTGCCACCAGAGCAAGGTGCCACCAGAACAGGGTGTCACAAGAGCATTGTGCCACCAGCAGTGGCGTAGCGAGGGTGTTTGGCACCCGGGGATAAGATTCGCGCCCGGGGACAAGATCCATTTTTAGAGCCCCTTTTTCTTTTTATCAACTCTCAAACCCATTATTTTTATCAATAAAATAATATCAAAGCACATTTTGGCGCCCCTAACTAGCTGGCGCCCCCACCACGCTACGCCTCTGGCCACCAGAAAAGGTTGCCACCAGAACAGGGTGCAACCTGAAAAGGGTGTCACCAAAGCAGGGTGCCACCAAAGCAGGGTGCCACCAAAGCAGGGTGCCACCAGATCAGGGTGCAACCTGAATAGGGTGTCACCAGAGCAGGATGCATCCAGAGCAAGGTGTCACCAGAGCAGGATGCATCCAGAGCAGGGTGTCATCAGAGCAGGGTGTCACCAGAGCAGGGTGTCACCAGAGCAGGGTGTCACCAGAGCAGGGTGCAACCTGAACAGGGTGTCAACAGAGCAGGGTGCCACCTGAACAGGGTGTCAACAGAGCAGGGTGCCACCTGAACAGGGTGTCAACAGAGCATGATTTCACAATTTGTTTTGGACACAATTTATGGAAGGGTGTATACATAAATAATTAATTAATAAAGCCCCCCCCCCCCCAAATCTCGACATATTGGAAATGAAAAAAAAAGAATGCGGGATAAATGCGTTGAGTCACTACTTACTAGAACTACTCTAATAAGACATGGTTGATCTAACCACCATCCCCTAGTCCAAATAGATACATAAATCGGTCCAATCTGAATCTGCCATCGTCAAACACATCTCGTGGAAGGGTGTATTCAAAAAAAATTAAATAAAAAAACCCCCCCCCCCCCAAATCTCGACATATTGGAAATGAAAAAAAAAGAATGCGGGATAAATGCGTTGAGTCACTACTTACTAGAACTACTCTAATAGGACATGGTTGATCTAACCACCATCCCCTAGTCCAAATAGATAAATAAATCGGTACAATCTGAATCTGCCATCGTCAAACACATCTCGTGTGGTAAGGTTTTTAATCTATATATTACGCACGCACTAAGGGGGAGGTGGTATTGCTTCAGGAGATTCAGACGGTTTAGTTAATAGGCTACTAATAAATATGCCTATGCATATACCGGTAATACCGGTACGTTAATTTAAGCCCAAAGCCAAAGCGGCTAGCTTTGGGCATCTAAATTTTTATCACAATCAGGTTGAACAAACAATTTTGAAATGGGGAACAACTAATCTGATTTATTTTTTTAGATAGGCCTACATTTAATTATTAGATAGTTTTAAAAAGAATATAGCTGTACATAAATAAGTATAATAGTATAATAATAATAATACGAAATAAAACTAATTCATGTCAGGAGAGATAACTCCGATTGAAAAAAGGTATTGCCAGATTTACATTTTTTTAAAAATTAAAAATAATTCAACGTGCTATTACTATTCAATGTAACTGATAATTCATTTGTATATAAAATCTATTATAAATAATATTTAATGTTTCTTAATAAAATTTTATTTTATAATAATTAAGCAGTGCCTAATGAGAATGGGCAATGTTTCAACATTTCATTAAAAAAAAAACAGCACCTTATAAATACAATTAATTTAAAAGGGTTAAAATTGCTGGCTATAAATAGTAAATTTCCACATGTCTATTTAGCAAAGATAAAAACTTGTTTATTTTCTTTAAAATACAATTCAGCTGTATTATCCAACTGATATATTTTAAACTATAGGACTGCAGTGCATTTCGTAACGTAAGTTCCGTAATGATATGCGTGAAGTATCCCAATTTAATTGTTAACCTGCAGTAAGGCCGTAAGGTAAAGTCCGTAACAAACTCAATACTCAAAGCCAAAGCTGCTTAAAAATATAAGTAAAAGAACCATGTTAAGTCCCAATTGACAGAACCGTGACAGTTCCGTAACAAACTCAATACTCAAAGCCAAAGCTGCTTAAAAATATAAGTAAAAGAACCATGTTAAGTCCCAATTGACAGAACCGTGACAGTTCAAACTCAATTCAATAATTTTAAAATATTATTAATAATAATTAATTGTAACTGATGTAACATGAAAATACATAATATTTGAGTTAGGATATATTTTTGTTGATTTCTTCTGAAATATGCTTTACTTTAACTTTAACTTTACATACTTCACTTGTCTTAAAATGAAATTTATATTTTAAAATTAATTGAAAATTGTCTGAAGTGTTTATTTTTCACTTAATTTTCTGTAACTCATACTAACTGACTAAGTAAGACCTAGGTCTAAGCTAAGGTAAGGAAAACCTTTAAAACTACTTTGACTTTGACCTATAAAGAAGTCAAGAACATTTTTTTTTTAAATACAGACTTACACTAACTTAACTTACAGACAAAATAATGTAAATGTAAATTGTAACTGACATAATTGTCACATAACATGACTTTGTAACTGACTTTATTGTTAAATTTATATTTCTGAATGCAAGCAATCAAAATTGAACAACATACATCAATTCTTTGACAGAATTACAAATACTTCACTGTAGGCATTGTGTCTGTAGTAGTTAAATAAACATTAAAAAATAGTAACAGCGTTTGAATGAAAATTAATGCTTGTCCATCATGTGACATTGACCTGGACAATGAAAATTGTCTGTATTATATGATGTAAACACAATAAAATTCAACAAAATTTCTATTAAAATGTGTAGACAACATGTTTTTAATTTAATATGGACACCAGGTCATTTGTCACACAAAACCATGATTATGATTAAAATTATGCAGTACAGAGAATTCATCTGTGTTTGACTGTTTGATAGCGTTTGGCTAAATGAAAACGCTTTATCCCTAAAGGGCAAGGCACAGAGTAAATGATTAGACAGTTAACCCTATATTTAAAAATTGCCCACAACTGGCTTGGTTTGTTACACCAGGTCTGTTTTAACTCTGTAATTTTACCCCCACAAAAATGTTTTCTTTTGTAGAGAATAAACATAGACAAAATAAAATAAAATAATTTTACGCCTATTAAGCAATAAAGTATTAAATTAGTTTAAGCTAAACAGTTTTTATATTTTAATACTCAATACATTTTTGTAATATTTAGTCAGTCCTTGGTTTAATAGCTTTCAGCCCTGTTATGTTTAGGCCTAAACAGTGTTAAATAACTTTCCTAGGCCTATATACTAGCCTAAGTCTATACTATCTGACCGAACTTCTCTCTGTCTATTCACCCGTTCGACAGCTTCGCTCCTCCGCAGACGCACATATTCTTTTTGTCCACAATACTCGCACAAAAACATACGGTGAACGATCTTTCTCTTTCTGTGCCCCCAAACAATGGAATTCTCTTCCACTACACATTCGCAATATACCGACCATCACAGCCTCCAAAACTGCACTCAAAACACATCTCTTTAAACTCTACTATCCTGACCGATTCCCCCCTCTGACCAATAAATGATGCTGCTGGTTAGCCGTCCATGGCTTGACATAATATAAATAGTTCTTGAATATGTAGAGTAAATATATTTTTGTTTTATTTAATTAATGTATGTTAATTTTTAAGTTCATGATTATGTTTGTTAAATTGTATGTACAGTGTGGTGAGCCCAGCCCTAGGTTGTGGTACCACAGTATATAAAAACACCAGTAATAATAATATTAATATTATAGGCATAACCTATTTTATGTAAATATATATTTTTTTTAAAGGAACGAGGAATCTTCTGCTATAAATTGGTGCACAATAACTTGTGATAAAAATGTCAGGCAGTGATGGAGAGGACACATTGCAGAAAACAAAATCTGACAATCTACACTTTAAGGCTCTACTTGATTTGATACCACCACAGTTCTACTTCAACTTTGAGGACAAACAAGAAATATTTGGGAATGTTTCAGGCAAGTGTGCAGCTTGAATAAGGTCAACTAAATGTGTTTTTATTGGGACATTTTATTCTTTAATGAATAACTCAGCTAAAACATATTTCAGACACCTATCCGTATGGTTTATTGTAATTAATTCTTAAATCATTGTGCAGACAAAGTTAATACTCCTGCAAATATTCAAAGATTAATATCTAAATGAAACATCTGACTAAAAATAACCACTATTAATTTAATAGTAAATTCTTATCTTAGCTGTATGTAATAATGGTTAGAGAAGAAATTGCTTTTTTGATAAAATATAATTTTTAAAAAAAAATGGTTGCCTAAAGCCAATGAACTTTCTCAATCTATGGATCTACTACTATATATGAATATTTTTTTCTCCTTGGATTTCATGAAATTATCCACACAAAAAATCCCAAGATTTTTCGGTTTAAATCAAATTTGAATGTGGCACATGTTAGTCTATATCTACAATCTATCATTAGAGCGACAATAATTTAGTTTTTAGAACTTTTAAATTGACTGGTTTGATGGAATTCGTAAGTAGTTTGATGGTGTTCTGTTGTGATTCCTTGTTAACACGCTGTCATTTTATGATAAAAGAAATATTCCCCAAAAAGTATAAGGCAATACATAAGTGTAGTATAAGTATGTATAAATGCATTGAAATCTTGTGTCAGTTCCACTGCTTCATACATGTTGATGTTGTGTAATTAATTCCCAACTACGGCTGCTGGTATTTCAGATGATGAAGATCTCCCAGATCCAAAGAAGAGGAAAAAGAAAAAAAAGCCATTGTCAAATCTCTCAGTCACACAGATCACAGAGCTAAGGCAGCAGGGAGTAACTCTTGGTGTGTACCTCTGCCTCAAATTGGTCAATAGGCATGCTCATTTGTTGCTATAAGATATTCTGTCTAAGCCAACTAATCTAAGCTTAAACTGTAGAAAACCAGACTTTGCATTCTGTCTAAGGCGCCTAAGCCTTAGCTGTAGACGACTAGATATTGCACAGGAGGGCAATTATGAAATAAAATAAACCTTCTACCATAACGTCTTTATCAAAAGACATGGACCTAGTGATTCCACATATATATATATATATATATATATATTTAAAATATTGTGCATTTGGTAAATGCCCCAGTACAGCAGTGTTAAAACTGAGGGAAAATCCCACAGTGTTAAAACTAGAGTGAAAATCCCAGTGTCAAAACTAGATCAAACATCCTTCAGTGTTAAAACTAGAGGGAACATCCCAGGTTGAGGGGAAAAAACATTTTTATTTGAATAATTATGCCTCAATTATTTAATGACATTATTTTAGGGCCAAGAATGTTTTTAAAGAGTGAGCTCTAAAATGGAAAGTCTAAAAACCCCTGTTTTGGGTGGTAAGACTAACTACAATGTTTGTTTTGTCAAGTGCAGTAACATAACTCAATTAAACCACTGCTTTGGGTGGTAAGATTAGTAAGAACAAGTACAATGATTATTTTGTCAAGTACAGTTATATAACTCAATGTATCATTATAAAAAAAACAAATAATAATTTTCACAATACTTTTTTTTTTAAAGTGTCATGACTTTTATCAATTTAATAGGAGACAAGAAAGGAAATGGAAAAAAAGATAATGGAAGTGGACATGTTGTGAATGGAGCAGGTGATAAGAGTGAGGAGTATTCAATTGGTGAGTGAGGTTGGACTTTTTCCTTAAAAATTCAATGTGATTTTTAAACTCCAGTGACACTTTTAATAAATGCTAATTATACTGCAATTGAAAGCAGTCAACCAGAAAGGCAGCCTTTTGATGTAAATCAGCGGGAAGTACAGCAGGGTCTGCCACTGTAGAATGAAGCTCATAGCCCACTTTCGGACTTACAGATTAGAAGCTACCCCAAGCCTCTTCTAGATGAATGAATCATGACAAGGCTACAGTTCAATTTAGCATTTTTTATTTTTCATGTCCTTTTTTTTTTGAAAGATTGTTTCCCCCAATAATAAGTGATTTATGCTGATTTCTCCCCTTCTACAAAGTAATTTATGCTGATTTCTCCCCTACTACCAATTGAATTATGCTGATTTCTCCCCTATGACCAAGTGATTTATGCTGATTTCTCCCCTATGACAAAGTGATTTATGACAATTTCTGCCCTATGACCAAGTGATTCATGCTGATTTCTGCCCTATGACCAAGTGATTTATGCTGATTTCTGCCCTAAGACCAAGTGATTTATGCGGATTTCTTCCCTAAGACCAAGTGATTTATGATGATTTCTGCCCTATGACCAAGTTATTTATGATGATTTCTCCCCTATGACAAAGTGATTTATGCTGACTTCTGCCCTATGACCAAGTTATTTATGATGATTTCTCTCCTATGACAAAGTGATTTATGCTGATTTCTCCCCTACAACCAAGTGATTTATGCTGATTTCTCCCCTACTACTCAGTGATTTATGATTATTTCTCCCCAACTACCAAATGATTTATGATGATTTTTTTTTCCACCCAAGTAATTTTTATTTTAATGAGGTGCATATTTATTGGGAGTGTTAGCCAAGTAGAATTTTAATCTGTTAGTTAAAACTAGTATTGGAATTTTAAAATCCAATTCATGTTTACAAAATATCACAGCAGCCTTTAAATAATATGGACAATCTATTCTTCTTTGTAATTTGTAGTGTTCTTTGGCGACAATTCTGTCTTCACTCTCTAGGAAATAGTCACGAATATCTTAATACTCACATTGACGTACGCAACTGCTACTTTGAATAGTCTTGATATTCACATTGAGCTGGGTATTCACATTGAGATACGCAACTACTTCTTTGATTTTTTAATTTCTCAGTCATCTTACTTCTGTGTTAAACATCTCCCAGCTAAACCTGGTAACAATTTAAAAAAAAATAATTGCATAAAACATCGTTTTTCAACTTCTTCTTGTTTTTTGTAGCCATTTTAAATCTTTCTAATGATATACACCTCCACCCTATATCAATCATATTTCCCGTCATAACATCATAGGATCAAATATCAATATTAAAATGTCCATTTTTCTACACACTAAGTTGCTCCCTGAGCATCTTTCAGGGAAACATGAGTTTTTTGTCATCTTGTTCTTTATTGATTAGTTTTTGGTATTTTATGCCAGAGACCAAACACCAAGGCAAAAAACTGAGCAGAACATCTAACAGCAAGAAGAAGGTCAAAGAGCACCAGCGGCGGGAGTCAAGGCTGGAAGAGTTAAAAGAAAGACTTCGCGCAAAGCTGGAAGAGATCAAAGGTAACGAACATGACAGAAATAAATAGTAATTTTGGGACATTTTTGTTGCAGACTTTCTATGCTTGTTTCCAAGCCTTGCATTTTTTGTTTAAAAATATTGTATTTCCCTCTGTAAGAAGTTAAGGCAAAGGAATTTGTCACTTATTCAGGTTGTCCTAGGTGAATAAATTATAATATTAATTAATTTTAAAATAAGAACTTTTAAAATAATCTCAGGGGTATTTAATGTCGTACAATATACATGCTAAAAAATAATTCATGCAAATACATAATATCGCATTTAAACACCTAAGCTTTTGTAAATAAACGTCTTACTATTTTAAAGCTCTAAACTTATAATTTCTAGTTGTGCTTAGCTAACAAAAGTTGTTCACACCCTTGTCTCAATCATCTATATTTTTGACCCCCTAAGTGTTATTAGCAATCCTCAATAACGTCTATCACCCTTCTGTAACGCAGCTCGTAAAAGCAACAGTGCCGGAACCAACACACAGGATGAGAAAAGGTTAAAGCGGCAAGAGAAGAAGGTCAATGCTAAGCTGAAGAGCAAAGACAAAGGTGACCAAAAACAGCAGCAGTTGAAGGCTGTGGCCAACGGGCTCAAGTCACCGCCACAAAACAAAATCCTGAATGAAAATGGTGTGCCGGTCACATCCAAATTTGACTTTTCTGTAATTTCGTTTGGCAACGATCGGCACAAATCGTCTGACCTGCACGGCAAAGACTATAAGAGACTCTTGGAGAGGGTTGAAAAGCAGAAAGAGAAGGTTGAGAAGTTGAAGGAGAAGGACCCGGAAGCCGGGAAGAAGCTGGAGCAAAAAATCCAGTGGCAGAACGTCATCAACAAAGCGCAGGGCGAAAAGGTCAAGGATAATCCAGAACTGTTGAAAAAAGCATTCAAGCGAAAAGAAAAGCTGAAGGAGCGGAAGCAGAAGAAGTGGGGTGAGAGGGTGCAGAATGTGGAAAGTGTGAAACAGAAGAAACAGGACAAGCGACAGGCCAACATTGACAAGAGGAAAGATGCAAAGAAGGAGAAGAAGAGAAAGCATTTGATAAAGAAAGGAAGAATCATTCCCGGTTTTTAAAAAAATGTTGAATCTGTTGTGTTTTATATGTTATGGTTGCCTGCGTGTGTGGTGTGTGTGGGCGGTGTGGTGTGTGTGGGCGGTGTGGAGAGCGTGAGGTCTGAATTCTTGGTGAAGATGTGTGCGTATGGGGTCGACAGAAAAGCTGTTTGCTGTGTGAGCTTATAAAAATTGTTGGCATGAGGCCAAAGTGGCAGTCACACTTTGAAATCAATACAGGAAGGAATATTGATTTCTAACATTAAAGTTAAAGAAAATAAAATATGTGGCAGAAAATTCAAAACTAGGAATTCTCATCTTGATTTAATTTTCAATGAATGCATTGCAGAGGATAAAGTTTAGTAGACAATAAAATAGGTTGACTTGCTAATTAAAGTTTTTTGCAATCATGTTAAGGGTATGCAGATTTAAAAAAAAATGTATATTAAATAAAATTTTGAAAGCCTGTAAAATGTATCATTTTCTAGTATATGGTATAGCATTTGTTCATTTCTTTCTACCATTTTTTTTCTTCTTACTGTCGCTTGGTCTTTCACTTAACTTTCAAGAGACAAGCTGGATTTTCTGTGATGAATATTCCGTATTCCTGTAATATCTCATTTATTTTTTCAGCTTTTGAACAATTTATTATGAATAATCAGAGTTCTCAAACATCTGGCATGAAGAGCCACACACCAGAGATTTTTTTTAAAAACAAAAGGCAGCATTATGAAATATATTTTTCCTCCCCATTTTAAGAGTATATTTTTGGTTTTGTCGATGTTATCTGTCTGTCTAGTGGTTCAATGTAAAATTGATTTAATCTGTCTGGCTAGTGGTGAGGAACTTGTTGTTAGATTCAATGGAAGGTTGATTTAATCTGTCTGGCTAGTGGTGAGGAACTTGTTGTTAGATTCAATGGAAGGTTGATGTAATCTGTCTGGCTAGTGGTGAGGAACTTGTTGTTAGATTCAATGGAAAATTGATTTAATCTGTCTGGCTAGTGGTGAGGAACTTGTTGTTAGATTCAATGGAAGGTTGATTTAATCTGTCTGGCTAGTGGTGAGGAACTTGTTGTTAGATTCAATGGAAGGTTGATTTAATCTGTCTGGCTAGTGGTGAGGAACTTGTTGTTAGATTCAATGGAAGGTTGATTTAATCTGTCTGGCTAGTGGTGAGGAACTTGTTGTTAGATTCAATGGAAGGTTGATTTAATCTGTCTGGCTAGTGGTGAGGAACTTGTTGTTAGATTCAATGGAAGATTGATTTAATCTGTCTGGCTAGTAGTGAGGAACTTGTTAGATTCAATTGAAGTGGAGAATTAATTCAAGCCTCAACAACCTGGAGGCAAAATTTTGTCACTGTAAGATTTTGAATTTAACCTTGTTGTTCGGACATGCACAAAGTAACTGTTGGACACTTCAGTTAATACAGCTGTGCCTGAAGATGTGTTTCTGGCATAGTTGTGCGTCAAATGTAAAAGTGTGGCAGTTTAAAAAGTATATTGGAATATGATTATTAAGCTGTTACAAAATGTGATTCTAATGCTAATGAATTGTTGCAGTACTGGCTATAGCCCGCCAAACAATTGTGGCCACAATGTGTGAACTTCTCTTATCTACTAAAGTTACTTAACAAAACATGCACTGAAGTAACAAACTTAATAAGAATAAGAATCCCAAATAGATCTTAAACACCCCCCTCATTACACTTTTTCACACCCCAACTATATAATATTAATAATTTAATGTCCCACTCCCTTTTATGCTGCAGTTTTATAACCCAATATTTAAATTGAGACCATATCCTGAAAACAAAAGGAAGTATCGCTCAGGTACTAAACGCACTTGGTGTATTTTTAAGAATCTCATTTAGCAGATTTTTGGGGAATTTTATTTAGTGAACTCTGCACCATCTGTTAGCATTAGTGGCATTGCTACATAGAGATCTATGCACCATCTGTTAGCATTAGTGGCATTGCTACATAGAGATCTATGCACCATCTGTTAGCATTAGTGGCATTGCTACATAGAGATCTATGCACCATCTGTTAGCATTAGTGGCATTGCTACATAGATATCTATGCACCATCTGTTAGCATTAGTGGCACTGCTACATAGAGATCTACGCACCATCTGTTAGCATTAGTGGCATTGCTACATAGAGATCTCCGCACCATCTGTTAGCATTAGTGGCATTGCTACATAGAGATCTATGCACCATCTGTTAGCATTAGTGGCATTGCTACATAGAGATCTATGCACCATCTGTTAGCATTAGTGGCATTGCTACATAGAGATCTCCGCACCATCTGTTAGCATTAGTGGCACTGCTACATAGAGATCTCCGCACCATCTGTTAGCATTAGTGGCATTGCTACATAGAGATCTATGTGTTTTGATCATCTTAAACTTAAAGCTAAACTATTTACATGTTAACAATATTTCTTTCTACTACTGGATTTTCGAGTACTGTAACAAAAATACATATTCTTAACCAGCAATCACTGACTGGTATTTGGAAGAAATTCTTGTACATAGTGTGTAGTACAACAATGGCTAAATAATGGATTTCTAAAATGTCAACAGTTGCAGGAGATGTTTGAACAGCCCATACTACTAATAGTAGGGTTTAGCTTGATTGATGACATAAAGAAGCTGTCTGACCACCTCATTGAACACAAGGAAAAAATTGAAATAAAGCAATAGAATTAACTGTGTAGAAAAGTGTAGCCATGCGCACCAGGTAAAAATGTCAACTCAGGATGGGTTTGCCCAAGTTATCCTGAGTGACATCAAGCTAGGGCTTAAATCTTTGTCACCTGGGTTTTAAGTGCAGTCCGCTGGTTTCACACCAATTTCTGTCATAGACCAGGAGGCACAAATTCCTTGGAGTGTTACATTAATGGAACTGACCATGCTAAATGGTTACAAGTTACAGTGACACCTAGTCTTCACAGTGCATCAAGAATGAATGCATTAGAATTTAAAATAGTTTGTCCATATTATATGACTCATGTTATGAGTGTAATTTACATGTCAACTCTTTGACTTTTAGGTTTGCTCAGATTGTAAACTGTTGTAAATTTTTTTAAAGACCCTAATTTAAAATGTTCATTACTGGTACTGAGTTAAGGCATTAACCCGGTCAGGTGGAAATCTGAAAAGAGCCACCAGTAATAGTAGCAACATTAATAATCATTTGAAACATGATTTCATGATGATGAATCACTCCCACCACCTTTTGTGTTTCCACTGAAATGATTGTAGCATTTCATCTGTTTTGAAGTTGATTGATACACTTTTCATCCCGCAGCTGTGGCTGAGTTTTGTTATTTCCCATTGATTGTGATTACAGGTAATACAATAGTTAAATTGTGCTACAGGGCAGAACAACATTGTTAGAAGTTAGACATACCAGGTACACAACGAAAAACTAAATGGAAAAACACTAAAAAGTCTAAGTGAAATGACAAATCAAATTTTTAAAAATGACTTGCTTTATATATTTGGTTTTGTTTAGATAGGAATATCTCTTACTAAATCTTGAGTTTCAGAAATCTTCTGCTACAAATTATTTCCCAACTAATTTTTGGCCCTCAGAAATGTGTGTCTTTGACATTCTTGACTTAAAAATCCAGTGTTAAGAGAATTTGTAAAAAAATTGGTTTTCTTGTATAGTATAATGAAGCATTGCTTGTACTTGTAACTTGTAATAGTCTTTTTCAAGGCCATGAACTTTAACTTCAAGGCCATGGCTCAAGTACACTCAAGAAGCACAAGGGTAAAAATGAATATAACTAACTAAAAACACACATTTCTTCTGTATTGGGTGGTCCTCATGATAAAAACCAAACACTACTGTTGGTATACTCCTGTAGATTTTAATCAGTGGCGTAGCTAGGGGTAAGTGCCACCTGAGGCGGGCCAAGATTTTTCCGCCCCACTCCCAAGAAAAAAAAAATTGCAGGTGGCTTATTCGTCCCCATCCACCTTCCTTAGGCGAGCTCTTGTCATGTCTTTGTCTTTCTAATTCTAAGTTCTTTCCGTTTTCTTCACCCCGTCACCATGAGGTTGAGGAAGGCTCTAAGAATATTCTTACCGTAAACCTGATGATGTCGATGTATTCAGCTTTAAGTTGTGCTGTGGTCCCCACTGCTCTCATCACAAATGTTATGTAATGTAATAATGCATTATTTAAATTAAATAAAATGAATTAACATCTTTCTCATATTTTTATAACTGTCTTGAATGGTGAATCCATACTGGTGTTATTATTATTTTTTTTTTAAATATAAAAGGGATGTAATCTTACAACCAGTGCTATTTTCGTATTTCAAAAGTTGTATTCATTGCGCCCCTTGACCTAGTGAGACAAAGGGCAATAAACACTGCACGATTCTAATCCATAGCTGTAATGTATTTTTTTAAAACTTCTTAAACTAGCTAAACCAGTGGTGGGCAAACTCATTAGTCAAAAGAGTCAAAAAAAAATAATAATAAAAAATTAGCAGCAGGACGATTAAACAATTTTGGGAGCCAAATTTCTCTTCAAGAACCTGTCAAGAACCATGTTTTTCGGAGTCAAAATCGATTTGTGGTCGACTGGCCGAGCCACACTCAGGTCGCTAAAGCCTCGCAAGCCGCGGCTTACCGACCACTGGGCTAAACTCTGTAACTTTTTTTTAATATAATAAATATATACCGGTATATATATTTATATATATACACATTATGAAATATGTGGATGTCGCACTAGGCATGTTTCCAGAATAGAAATTGAGTAAGGGACTTAACTTATAGGGAACCCCCACCTCCCATCACACATACACGCGAAAGAACTGGAGCAGGGCTTCTTAGCCTTTTGTAATCCATGGACCCCTTTGCCAATGGAACGAAAGCAACGGTCCCAGTATTTAAAATTCATGCAATAAATTACAAATGGCCCGTAGACCACAGATGAAGAACCCCTGCGATAGAAATTGTAGTTTCAATACTGTTGCATAGGTGAGTTCAACATTTCACACTGTTGTCGTTGTGTAAACAGTATTTAAGGTGAGTTCAACATCTCACACTGTTGTCGTTGTGTAAACAGTATTTAAGGTGAGTTCAACATCTCACACTGTTGTCGTTGTGTAAACAGTATTTAAGGTGAGTTCAACATCTCACACTGTTGTCGTTGTGTAAATAGTATTTAAGGTGAGTTCAACATTTCACACTGTTGTTGTTGTGTAAACAGTATTTAAGGTGAGTTCAACATCTCACACTGTTGTCGTTGTGTAAACAGTATTTAGGGTAAGTTCAACATCTCACACTGTTGTCGTTGTGTAAACAGTATTTAAGGTGAGTTCAACATCTCACACTGTTGTCGTTGTGTAAACAGTATTTAGGGTACGTTCAACATCTCACACTGTTGTCGTTGTGTAAACAGTATTTAAGGTGAGTTCAACATCTCACACTGTTGTCGTTGTGTAAACAGTATTTAGGGGGAGTTCAACATCTCACACTGTTGTCGTTGTGTAAACAGTATTTAAGGTGAGTTCAACATTTCACACTGTTGTCGTTGTGTAAACAGTATTTAAGGTGAGTTCAATATTTCACACTGTTGTCGTTGTGTAAACAGTATTTAAGGTGAGTTCAACATTTCACACTGTTGTCGTTGTGTAAACAGTATTTAAGGTGAGTTCAATATTTCACACTGTTGTCGTTCGTATCCGGAAATTTGATCGAATCTTTTTTTCAATTTTTTAGAAGAAATTTGACGAAAATTTTAACGTGTGAACTGAAAACAAGATTCGACCAAATTTCCGTTCGATCAAATTTCCGTCGATCAATTTACCGTCGACGAAATTTCTTTCGATCAAATTTCCCGTAACCGTTGTTGTTGTGTACACATTTTTTAAGGTGAGCTCAATATCTCACATTGTTGTGTCAACAATTGCTTTGGCAAGTTCAACATTTCCCATTGTTGTGTCAACAATTGCTTTGGAAGTTCAACATTTCCCATTGTTGTGTCAACAGTTGCTTTGGCAAGTTCAACA